CAGTCTTAAATGCATTTACAGCTAATAGCACTATTCCATAACCTTATCCACATTAAAATTAATTAATTAACATAATATCTTATCTCTATTCCTTTTCACATTGTATTACTTAAAAATATCTATACCTATTATATAATCAACCMAYACAACATTATATTATGKAAAATTAAACAATTGTAAACTTGTAATAGCATATAATATGCTGAAACATTTTAATATATTAAATAAAAAAATCTTACATTTTATAGATAAGAGTGTTCAAATTTTTTTTTGAGTATAATACTATATATATATGATATTAATATATTATATATATGTTATATAGTTATTATGCAACATGGATTTTCGACCATAAAAGTAAGTAGGTACCTATTGATACTTAATTGGCTGTGTAGCAGTAAATTTAAGATCTTATGAATAATTATTCGTAGATCATGAGAAGAGAAATATTAATTAAATAAAAAAATCTTCGTTTTTCTTCTGGGGTGAGTTAATTGGTTCTGTCGCGATTCTGTAGATAGCGTTTATTATAATATCTACCTATTAAGCTGTGGGATTAAACACGTATGTCGTATATATATATATATATATATATACTATATAGGTATATTTGACAATTTTAGATTGGATAATTACTGCACGTAATATACTTAATAGTAGTGTATTACTTTAATAGTTTAATACCTATAAACTTGTATCAAATCTAACTATGGAAGAAGTCGGGAAATAATGCACAAAGTATTTCTTACCATAATAATTATTTATTATACAGATGTATATAGAGAAATCGGTAAATTTAAAAGTCCTAAAAATTGTATGGGTACCTTAATCAAAGATTATATTATATGTATATTTTGTATAATATTTAACAAACGCGTTGGTAAGTAATATTACATGAGTAGATTATAGACACCTATAGGCACCTATAATATTTGTAAGTCATATTAAATGTTTAACTAAAGTCAATAATAATATAATGATTATAATGTAATACGAGTATTAAATTGGATTTACATAATTTTCAGAATTCCAAAGAAATATTTCACGAAAAATCGAAAAAGTACCGAAAATCGATTACATATAAATTGTTAAAATGCATTATTTTATTTATTAATTTTTTTTTTATTATTATTCAGATATTAGATGAATATATTGACTGCTGTAAGTACCTTGCAGGCTGTATTTTATTTAAGTTACTTATACGAGTACATACTGTATTAGATATATTATATACCTTTAAATATTTTAGAAATATKACATTGATCATTATAAGTGCGAATTATCACCGATAAATATACCACTATACAAGAAAAAAAGAGCGGATAAGCATAATGTTTCCCAAATTATTTACCCGAAATCTCTGATCTGGAAATTAAATCTAATTAGCCCATTTTAATATACGGTATTATTTATGAGCACGCGTGCGTATAATATATTTTAACTAATACGAATTCATATATACATGATGCCTAAAGGCTGAGGTCCGAGGTAAATGGTCAACAGTTGTATCGAGGCACACGAATGATATACTTATGTCCTATAATGTATATGATGTATTATTATATATATATATATATATATATATATATACCTTAATATCAAGTAGGTACCGTGTATGTGTACAATGATGTATTATATATTTATATCTATATGCATGTGAATATATATAAGTTCACGCGTACACGAGTACACACTACATCATGCGTATAATGACACGATGTGTAAAAAAGTCATTATTACATGCACAGGTAAGTGTATTATAGAGGTATGATAATAGAAAGGTATATTACTTGTATTAGACACATATTATGCGCTCATTTGGCGAAGCACATTAATTTTGTATTATTTTTATTTTATTTTTTCAACTTGATTTATGATATATAATATTATTTATATATAGGTACCTCTAACGATTATATTTAATTTACCTCTCGTCTATACGCTGCAGTCACTATGTAGACTACGCAGCTGTAATACGCTAGCTATATACGACACGTCTCAACAATTAATACACACTCTTCAAATTATAATAATCATTAATAAATAAAAATTGATTTATAACAGTAAAATAGGTGTAAAGATTTGTTATGTTTTTTATTATCTCGATCCTATTTCCGGACATGCTACAGCTAGGCTACATGCGGGTATAATTAATAAGAGTTGATGTGTTTACTTGGTAAGGTTTTTTGGTAGAGTAAATATTGCTGCATAATAATTTAGTCAATTTAAATAATAAAAAAATTAATTTACTACTATAAAATGGTGTAAAAGTTATAAGAAAAGAATAATTGACAATAATATATGTATAAACGGGACTTATATCACTGAGGAGCACATATGCAATTACAGTTCTTTTGGCCCAAAATAAAATTTATAACATAAATAATAATTAACAGATAAAAGCAATAGCCTTCTGTTTCTATAATAAATATTGAAGTAACAATAGATTAGCTAATATTCTTTTGTAGTCATAAATCGAATTATTTTATAATATTACGGCCTATACCGCGCCTTCCTATTACTACACGGTTATTCAAATTAATAAGTCTCGCTAAACTATCCAACGTAAAATAAAAAAATAAACATTTGTAAGGTCGTTTCAGAGTGTAAATAATAGATACGCACTTCAACCAAACATTGTACAGATGTGACACGAGATTTTTATTATTATTTTTTTCTATGAAAAAAAATTGTAAAAACAAATAATTACATTTTGACCTTCACGGTATGCAACTATTATACTACCTAGCTTATACCAACCACCCATAACATATTTGTCTGAAAAAAAGATTTTTTTCACATCTTGAAGCAAAGGTATACAGTTGTAGAATGATTATAGACGATTTTCGCTATATTATATTATAAATATACATAACAGCTATAGTGTTCACTAGCTATTCCTACATAGAATTGAAAAACACGTTTTTTTTTTTCTTTTATCGACAATGACGATACCTAGCCGAAAAGAATATATAGATATACCTATAGATAAATACATTTGTGTGTGCTTGAAGAATAAAATTATTATACTATACATTAATTTATAGGTATATACATGATATTAGGTAGGATTGTATTGTAGACGCGACCTCTTTCATTCGATTATAGTTAATATAACATATTGGCTGTGGTGCAAATAATTTACAGATAATAAATATTTATTGTTTACTGATTATATTATAAACTGTATAGAGATTCGTATAACTGCGCAAAAAAGACTACATCGGTGCAATAACGACTATTGTTTATTATATATAACATGCGATATAATTTAAACCTATATAGATGCGACTTGAACTACAAGTTACAGGACTATACGTCATACGATTACATTCTGCTCCGGGCCCGGGATTTAGTCGGGGAAGAATAATCCACACAAATTTGGGGTCCTCGCAGTTTTGTAATTATTTAACGGTTAGGTTACAGCAAAAAATATTTCATTTAAATTTAAATATCCTTAAAATATAATAGGTATTTACAATGTTTATATAATATTATGGAACTTTATTTTTCTACTTACCTAATAAACCTACCTTAAAATTTTTAAATATTATAAATAAAACAATATATATTTTTGTATTTACGTATTATTGTACTAATGTACGTTTTATATGTGTTCAAATTAATGAGTATTATTCTAGTTGTTGTGAATGTTAAAGGTTTTTTGTGCCTTTCACAATCTCCATGCACGGTCAATCGTAATAATATCGTCGAATGCGTTTCTAAATGATATTATGTACACCAATGCAGCGTCCGGAATTATATTATAATATGTCAAATTTCATAGTGTATAACGGTTAACAACGAATTCTACCTCAAAACAAGTCAAAATCAATAAATTATTTGCAATTATATCGATCATATATACGAACGTATATAGCTAGAGGTAGGTACCTATACGTTATTGCAAGTTTATTATGTTTATGTTATTACAATGTTTGATTTCTGAAACATAACATCACTTCTGCAGATGCAATATTTGCTGATATGAGCAGCAAACATTTTGCTTATTGTTAACGCATACAACTGCAGTCATGCCAGCATATWAAACAGTACCTATATTCATACTTACTATATGCAGAATAGAGTAATTTATTTTACTTTATTTTCATATAATATTAAAACAGATAAAAGCGTGATCGATATCTGTAAAAAGGTATTGCAGTAAACAACAATAAAAAAAAATACAAATAAAACACCATCTTTTTTTTCTACGAAAATTGCACATTTATTCGATGAACATCACACTGCACTTGAATATTATACATATAGGTTATATATAATTCAAATTCTATACGAACACAATTATTACAATCTCAAATTATATTGCCTAATAATAATAAATAATTTTATTCACCTTTTTTCGTCAAATTTTTACATCAGGAATATCAGGGTAACAGAGTTATAACTTTTTAAGTAAGTAAGCAATTTATATGAATACGTAGTCATATTCTATGCATAAAAACTAAAAACAATAAATCATAACAATAATAAGTGTTCGCGGTATACATTATATGTATTAGAATAAGGTTAGATTCAACAGCGTGGACAAAAACGAAATCACATCGACAAATAGTATTGAGACAATATATAATAATGTATATAAATTAATTAATATTAATTTTCATCAGAAATACAAAGTTATACCTATAATTATTACTGCATATTAAAAACTACATCACAGAATAACGAATACTAAAAACTACAATTTAATAATTTTCTTATATAATATGTATTCTAATTTATTATGTATATAGGTTCAGTACGTCATTATTTTATAATATTATAGTGGGCGTATATAATAATATATACATATAGTTCACACGATAATATAATATGTATATAATAATAATGGCTAATTTTATACAGACCTTACAGATATGAAAAAAACAAACAAACAAATAAATTATGTATATATAATTTAAGAACAACGGTTTAAATAATATAAATATATTACATATAATAGGTACGCATATACATATATACAATATGTATTGTATATTGAATCGTGTACATTGCGTAAGTATGTATATAATACATAATACCATTGAGTATATACAATAATATGTATACTCAACGATAAGGTCCTACCTAGGAATATATGTACATAGGAAAATCTATACGTATTACGATGGGTATTGAGTATATAGGTACATATTATTGTATAATAAGAGTGGAATAATCGTCGCCGCGAAAGTGTGCACGCTACACGAGAGTAGATATATTAGATTATTCTAATCATCATCATCATCATCATCATCGTGCAAAACGCAAACGCTGCGCCACGCTTATCCAACACGTATAATACCTACATACGAATCCAAAGTGCGGTCGGTCAAAGTTCGATTTATTACCAAACACGTGACTATACATAATATAATATTGTTATTACCTACATATAATATATATATATATGGGCTAAAAATATATTGTATATAGACGGGAAACGCATTTACCTTAATTATACTTAAATATTAGTTGTGCGGAAAATAAGACGCCGCGGCGTACCGTAAATAGTGTTGCTGTTGTAGTTGTTGTTGGTGGTGATGGTGCAACTGTTGCAGCTGGTTATGGTGCATGTGGTGTTGGTGGTGGTCTTGAAACGCTATCGCTGCAGCGGCCGCTGCGTGGTGGAAATCGTACGGCATCATCAACGGTGCCCGGTAAGCGGCCGGCACGATGGACGGGAATCTTCGTAAAATGTCGTCGTCTACGTCGTCGTCGTCATCGTCTGTGTAGTCCGCRGCGGCCAGCGGCTTYGACGGTGCGGTGTGAGACGTCGCCGACAACGGATCGGGTCCGATTAGGCTTTCAATGTCAAACGGTCTTTTGACGGCCGGCTTGGTTGTGCAAGCCGTGACCGCGTCCACGGCACCGATGACGTGCGAGTGGTCATGTGCCGCAATAATGTTACGGCTGCGGCTGCGGCGGCGTCGGTGACGGCTGTTGCTGCTGCTGTCATCGTAGCAGTGCAGCTGAAGGTGATAGGGAGCGGCCGCTGCACCGTGTTGAGACGTCGGTGGCTGTAGCTGCGGCGGCGGGCTGCCAGCTGATGACGAACAAGGCGACGAAGACGACGCGGACGACGCGCCCGACGACGAAGCAGCCGTCAACGACAATGACGATGAGGTCGCCGAYATGGATGGATGGTTACGCTGCATGTGCGCCAAATTATTGGCCAGAGCGATCAGTTCGTTGTCCAATCTAAATATAATATAACCATACGATTATAATAACCATTAGAATTACACAATATGGACATAACAATATACACATTATTATTTGTAAGACCGACATATTTTACTATTATTTAATAATATATATTTATATATATTATATACCTAAAATTATAATATGTAAATATACCTCAATGTATAAACATTATTTAATAAGTAAATGTGGAAGTGTGTACTTATGTACCTACCTACAGGTCCCTTAGGTATAATATTATATAATATAATTATATATAGGTATAATATGTATAAGTTATTATAGGGTATTGATAATATTGTTAGAATGATAAATATTAAAATATATTGTCCCTATAATTATATTATAGGTATAAAAATTATATATACTTTGCACACCTGTCTTTGTCGGACTTGACCAGCTTAAACCGTTTGCGGCGTCGTAACAGCGAACCGTTTTCGAACATGTCCAGGGCGGCCGGGTGCAGAGCCCAATACGCGCCTTTGCCCGGTCGGTCCGGCATCCGCGGGATTTTCACGAAACAGTCGTTGAACGACAGGTTGTGCCGGAGCGAGTTCTGCCATCGTTGCGTGTTCCGTCTGTAGTACGGAAACTGGTCGCTGATGAACTTGTAGATGTCGGATAGCGGAAGCATTTTCTCAGGCGAACTCCATATGGCCATGGCCGTCAACGATATGTAACTGTACGGTGGTTTTTGATCGCCGTATGAGTCGCGACTAGGCCGCGGCATTTTTACAAACTTTTATGTTTACAGTATTTTTGATATAATATTATGTACCCGACAGTATAGGTATTTACGTTTGAATGAAATGCACAATAAATCTTCGACCGTAAGTGTGGTTTTGCATTAAATGTTCTCGACAGCAACGCGCACTGTAAAAGTCGACGCAGCACCAGTGTACGATATCCGATTAGGTATACGGAAATAAAATAACAAAAACCGTCGTCGAACGGAATATTATAAATTATTATTACCGAAAATCACACGAATAATATTACTATTATAATTACTGTACCGATGTTAACGCGCACGGCGTAACAAAACGACTGCGACGGCGTTCGAGTGCGGACTGAACGGACGCGGTGCAGTTGCGGCGGCGTGGCCGACGGACGTCACGGTTAGGTCAGGTGGCCCGCCCAATGACACGCCGATGCGGGACCAATGGCTCAGGAGGCGGCCGCTGTCTTATAGCGCCGCCTTCCGTTCCCCCCGTCCGACAACCGGTCAAAGATCTTAGCGTGATCTGCAGCGGTGGGGACGGTTTTTTCCTCCTCCAACAGAAATATCTCATCAAAATCGTCTTCTACTCTCCTCGTCGCAAACTCACGACTACCGCGTCGAAGCGCTGAGCAGATACGTTTTTCTTGAACTCCGCGGAGCCACCCGATAATAATAATAAATACTTAGGACGATGATCTGCGTGGAGCGCTAGCAATAACGTTCTGCCGTTCGAAATAAAAATAATATTATATCGCATTCGATTTTATTATCATTTTCATTTTAGATGAATCTAACCAATATCATGCGTGTCCAAAGTTTAACAGTATTAGTGTGTAGCAAAAGCCTGAAATATTCAAAAACATCTCATTCAAAATAAAAATAAATTAATATTTTTGTAGAACTATTAAACCGCCAGACCACCTAATGAGCTCCGAGGTGCTTAATGCTGCTCAGGGTCTTGAACAAGATTATATATAAAAGTGATTCTGACTCTCAAAAAACAGGAGACCGTGGCTTGAGCGAAAAGGCAACTTACTATTTAGAACGTTAAATCCAATACGGCGGGCTCCAGCCGGTCCGAGTATTATATAGAGAAATTATCTTAACGTGATATATCCAGGATGGTGGACTTATAATGTTAAAGCAAAACGAGACTAACTACATATAATTGTATAATATAATACAACCAACTATTTCCCATGGGCAAATATTTATGTTAACTGAGCGAATTAAATACCCATATTTTTGTACGATAATAGGTAATATCAAATTTATAAGGGAGAATTATGTTTAGTGCCCACAGTGCTATATGTATATATATATACTGTGCAACTGCATACAATAATGATATCCATATTATTATTAAATCATCTACTTGGTATAATATTATAATTGTTGACAATTTTTTTTAGGACGCACTTATACTTTAAGAATACTTTATTATATCGTAGTGGACCAACGACCAACATGATTCATGACCCTCAACTAAACTTTAAATACCTATACATATAGATAATTAGGGCAAACGGGTTTTAATGCAATGTGTGCATTATACTTTAGAGGAAATCCTTGGTAATGCTTTTCAAATACAAAATACGTTTTATACATCAAGCAATTTAAAACATAAAACTTTATTGGTTATTTTCGAGCATTTAACCATTATTTTGTATTTTTGTTAGTATACACATTGTATTATAGATTGCGTTTGTTTGTATATTATACTGTAACTGTATATTAAGTATATATATATTTATTTATATTATGTCTAAARATAATGCAGGGGCGTCATTTCAGGTTTTTTTTCGGGTGAGCGAAGTTTCAAGCAGGCCATTTTGAAATTTCACCAGGCCATATAAAAATAGRTATACATACGTATATTATGTATATTATCCTGCATTCAATTATTTCCATACATTGTAGACCGATTATTACAATTTGGTTTTAATCATATAAATAATTGTGCATTCGTAGCTCGTGCATTATTTTAGGCTTCAACAAGGCGCAAGCCAATTATTGTAACATTCTAAAAGTAAAGGGTGCAGCCGCACATCCTGCCATCCCCCAAATGACGCCCCTGTATTAAATTAAATCAATGGTAATTTAAACTATTTTGTTCTGATAATTTATCTATTTAGTGATAATTTACTAGATGGCGCTTCTATTATTGGATTAGTTTAAAACTAATAACATAGGTGCAAAGTCATTCTTTCCAACTAAATAAAACATCAGAACCAACTAATCCTATAACCAAACCAAGAGATTTTGAATGGACTATGATTTTAAGTACAATGTTAATAATAAACAATTAATATTACCTCATATAGTTCATCTTAAAAACAATTAATAACTAGAATACTATAGATATCTATACAACAATACCTATTGATTATGAAGAGTAATGCGAGTAATTTAAAGTCAAAAATTAAATTAATAAGTTAAGAGTACGTAACAGTTGTATTTGTTGTCTCCGTCTTACCAGTGCGTAATATAACAAATGTACGCTCAGCTGCAGAACACTTATTGTAGCTCCTTTAGTTTAAAAATTACAGTGAATCGACCTATTATATGAAACTTGATGGTAAGAACATTATCTGTGTTTGTTCATTGGGTTTTGTAAATAATTCAATTTTTACCATCAAGTTTCATAATAGGTTCACTGTAATTTTTAAACTAAAGGAGCTACAAGTGTTCTGCTAAAAGCGTAAATTTGTTGTATTACGCACTGGTAAGACGGAGACAACAAATACCAATGTTACGTGCTCCTAAGGTTGCTAAGTGGTCATGATATTTTATTAAATTATTCGTAAAAAATAAATACTTTTATAAAAACAATAGCGTCAAAACAACATTAATAACACATTATTATAGATACCAAATGAATATTTGGTCACAAAATATAGGTAAAATACCTATTAAAATGAGGCATGACCAACGATACACCTGGCGAGACACCTATATGGTATAATACAGATAATATATACATGTATATGTGTATATGATAATATACATAAACTGCGGTGTGCCGTGCCACCGCTCGGTCGTAATTTATCGATATCCGGTATTTCACTGACCACTTCCGCCGTGATTCCGCCGCCGTCCACTTAATCAACAATTTTCTTCCGCTGGGGGACGCCGCAGCCAAACACATATTATTGTCTATATACAAGCACTAATATTAAGCAGCTAGATAGACATTGGCCAATGTCTGTGTTTACCCGTACGCCGCGGTATTTGTTTATTTAAATATTATTGACTATAATGTTGATTATGCGCTGTCCTTGAGCTGTTCGTCGTCACCAGCGACATTATATTTATGTAAAATTTCTCACTGTTCGCGCAATCGTCCACTATATATACCATTTGAACGTCGGATCGGGTGCTATAAATCGTAAGCCATCTCTCGCTGCAGCTTATTTTGTGCGGCACTTCAAGATATACCAGTCACGAGAACCGGGAAGACGAGACATTTTGATTTTGACGTCCTCTTATTGTTGTTGGGCCTCTGTGTGGTGTACCATGCTGTCTGCATCACGTATTCTCGCTACAGCTTACGTATATACTCACCGTCGCGAGCCCAAGTAATATACGCTCATCGTTTTCCGCTTATTTCTGAAGTCTGTTCGTCGTGCGTAATGTCGTTACCAATCCGTCGCCGACAGCATACCGAAAATCGACTAGTCTCATCTTATACGCGTGTAGTGCGTCTACGTGCTCGTACTAATTATACCGTAATCGGCGTAATCCAATGTCACGTGCCCGCCGTTACGACATTATTAGTCGTTATTCACCATCACGCCATCGTCGTCATTTGAATTGTTAATTTGTTACATAACTATTATTTATTGCCGCGTAGGTAGTGAAATCGATTATCCACCAAACCGTATTTGGTTGAGATTACTATACTGACTACCCGGCTCCGTTAGTACCTAAATCCATCAAATTATTTATTGGTCTATTTGTGTTAGAAATTTATTATTATAAATATTATTCTTATTTCATTATTCTCCATTCATATATATATATATATTATTATCTATACGTATAAAATCCAAATACCTACCACTGACTCGCTGATTACTGTATCTCAAAAACTACTCAACGTACGATCTTGAAATTTGGAATAGTGGGTCCTCCAATACTTTCACCGTACATTAAGAAAGGATTTTTAAAAATTTTGATTTTAAGGGGTTGAAATCAGCAAAACTAAATTTGTACGTGTAAGTTGTACATTTATATACATATTGCAGTGTATTTATATAACAAGTTATTAAATAATAGTATTAGTTTCATACAAATTCATACTAATTGCATACTAAATATTGGTAAAAAAAAAAATAAAGAAAATCGTATGTGGGGGTGCCGCCGTGCCGCGGCCGGGGTATAACGTTCGACCATGAATCTATTGGCTATATATTTTTAACTTGATAAGTATAACCTTTAATTATTTTTAAATTGCAAACTAGAGATTTTTATAGAAATAATAGATCTAATACATATAAATTTAATTATGTTTATTATAGGCTTGCTATTGGTTTTACAATTCAGTATGGATGAATAAGAAATTATCAATTCATCAATASATACCAATTTTAAAAATTATTTCAACTTTACAAAGTAATTAATTCGACAAAATATTATGATCACTACAGCTACGCCGGGAATTAAACGACGAAATAAACATAAATTTTGAATCATAATATAGATATATATCATATCGTATTTTTAACGGACAACGAAGTGCACGAAGATCAGCTAGTTTTATATAGGTACGTGTAAAGTGTTATACTGATATAGTATAATATTGTACAGGCCGGGTACAGACTACAGACAATAAGACCCGGCCACCATCATAATTTGTTTGTTGCGCTGCACTCAAACACCCTGTGCAGTACGTGTGTATATATCTGTTTGACTGTATTAGCAATTCAATAGWGTTCGAGGACGGAATCGACGAGCAAGACTATTGAACGCTAATGTGTAAATATGCATAATATGTCGTAACCATTTCGTGAAATCGATCTTATCATGAAAACATGACCATTTTGTGAAATGGAAACACGTTTTTTGCACTTTATGAAATTCAAAAATATTTCACGAAATGATCACTCAAATTTAACATCGTGTAATTTTTTTCACAAAGTGAACGACCATTTTGTGTTCTGAAATACAACATTTAACAACTTATTCTACCTTTATAAATTTAACTTAAATAATTATGTATAGTAATAAAGTTTATTTATATCATATTAATTTATTAACCGGATTGTAAACATTTTTATTTATTAGAGCAAGAAATTGAATTGTGACAACAACTGTTACATTTTAGACTACCTTTAAAACAA